AAGAGATAACACATCATATAAAGTAGTGGGTTAGGCAGAAAATTTGGTGGTACTGCACTTTTCATAATAAAATAGAAAAAAAAATTAGAAAACAGATCTACAGTGTTAGTAATGGGAACTGTGAGGGATTAAGAAATGCTAAAGAAACTGTATAGCTGAGTTGCAGGTAAACACCACTGAGTAGAGGCAGGTGATGCAGTTAAGCAGTTAGAGCACTTGAGTAGAGCAGTATATCCTGACCTTTTCAGACAATATGTATTGTGAGAATTCAGCCAGGCTTTTTCCTATATTTATGTGCCTGCATTGAATTCATTACTGTAAATAATTGTATGTTATTTTTTTAAAATTACTTTGCAGTGATGATATTTACTATTTTTGTACAGGGTGTGGACATTCAAAATTAACAGGTATCATGTAGAATAGATTGTTAGATAGACAGACAGTCACGTAGGGCATTTACCTAAACAGTATTTTTTTTTTTAACATAAATTTAGCAATGCTCTAAATGTGAGCATCAATGGGTATGAATGGGCAGGTTGGCTGACAGTCAGCTAGGAATGCCTGATGAGTAAATGTACATACCTCTTTTTAGGCATGTGTGACATTGCTCCCCCCCACCCCCCCACCTACCCCATCTGATCCTATTCCCTTCTGTCCCAGTAACATACATTCCAATAATGGGAGTTATTTAAAATACCACAATCGAATTCTAATATGACAGACACTTATCGGCCTTGTTGGTGAGGTATAACACATAACAATGCAGGCACATTGAGCAAGGGGTGCACATCTGGAGTTCCCTATTAGATGTTGGGAGACCCCAAAATATGCAAATACATTAAACAATATTGTAAAAGATGCAAGGAGAATGGGCAAAGGGTTAAAAAAGCTTGTCTTATGGATACTTATCATTTCCATGTATTCTTAGGGTCTCTTTAAATTTAAAAGGACAATCTAGAGTAGGCATATGAGAAGTCCATGTGAAGAAATTACCCACTAAAAATTATTTGAATAAATTGTACTCACCAGCAGTTCCACTTCAGTCAGAAGTTTTGTGAGATCTGATAGTCTTGATTTGTCGGAAAGCTCCCAAATGGCATTAACTACCCCTACTGAGGCATATCCCTGGAAACGTATCCTGACAACATCGTTGATCTGCATGCCACATATAGCTTGGAGCAGCTTCTCATTGTTGAGGAGATTAAGCCGTCGCTGGGGCACGCCAATACCATACAGAAAAGCAGAGTCTCTCTTCCCTAGTACGCGAACCAGGTTTCTTTTCACTGTCACTTCTGGACGGTTTGGTAGATCTAAGATACGGCCACGGGAATGGTCATTGTCCAGTAAGACACCCATGGAACCAGCAAACACTTTGTGTCTTCCAGCTGTAAATTCCCGGAGAACAATAAAAGCTCGTTGGGGCTTTAGTGTGGAGCTCATCTTGGCAATTCTGGCACCTAAAAGTATTTCTGAAATAATAAGGAGATTAATTAATGAAATTTGTTAGGTGTGGCAAGATTTTCCACAGATAATTATCCCTACGCGTGCTTTACAGGTTAATTACCTTCTAGACAAAACATTCTTCACTATGTTGAGCACGTACCAATCTACTTTCCCACCATTTTATTCTTTATATACATACATGACCCTTTAAATGCTTACAAAAAAAAGAAGCATTCTCTGTTGCTATGACAACAAATCAATGTGTTGCACACACTTGTAGGTTAAAATTAATCAAGCCCACAAAAAGTATGTATGGATTTTCACATGATTACCCTTTGAAATAATGTGTACTCATGAGCAATAGCCTATAAAATTTTAAAAGTAACCTATAAAGGTTCATTTACCCTCACCCCATTGCTGTAGTGCTGGTATTCACCTTGCAGAGAAACACATTTCTCAGTCAGTGCACCATTCTGGTCCTCTGGATCTTTGCAAAGGTATACTAAGTGACAGCCAACTCCATCTTCCTACATTCATACCAAGGCAACTTTTGTTGGACAAACTTCATGGCTACATTCCGATTTAGTGATACATTCTGATGGTATTGTTGGAAAGTTACATTCCCAGAAATACCCGTATCAGATTCCTTACAAATACCCATCAGTAAGGCATTTGATCATTTCTATTTAAAGAAACCAAATATCTAAAAGCATGTCAATTTACATAATTATACTTTTGAGGCATCAATGCACAGCAACGTGTACACAAAATCTTTGATTTAACCTTCATTTATGTGCTAGAGGTGAATCCATTATTGTAAATACATTGTATGATATTTTTGTTGAAAAATGATACATATGCAGTGATGAGGTTAACGGTTTCTGTACAGGCTGTGAACATTCAAAATGAACAGATAGACAGACAAACAGACAGACAGACACATACACACATTAATTTAAATTTATAACCAAAATATAGTTATATCCAACATATAAACAAGCTATGACATGTTAGAACTGTGCTGCTGAGTGTTATATAAACAGGAAAGTAAATACTAGAGATGGACTCTCATTATTTGTTTTACAAGGTACCCCAATATAAGTTACCTCCGAGGGCAATGATATTTAACAACTCTGCAAATGCCTGTAAGCTATATTTCCTATTATGTAAAATGTCTGCTTGCAGACGCTATATTTTGGTATTTTCTTTAGCATAACTCATGTCATGGCATATATCGGATAGGATTTCCTGTCTATTCACTAACAGCTCAAAACATTTTTAAAAGTTAGGCTGTAGCATCCAAGCAATAACTATCACTGATGTACATAATTCTTTAAACTTTGTAATTTTTCGCCTGTATTTCTAAATTTGGTTTTCAATTCACTACAAATCAGTGTTTAGCGAATAAACTCTAACTTCACTTAACCAACAGATGTATCCTACTTAAACTCAAGCAATCTTAACTAGTTTATTTTATTATTTCTAATAATGCCTAACTACCATCTTCCACGCACCAAAACTGCTACATTTTCTTACAATTATAATTAATATAATTATTTTGTTTCAAACTCTTTTCCCTTGTCCCTGCATATGCACCACACTGTCCATGCTGCCCTCTCTCACTGACCCCTTGTCCTAACCGTATAATCCTTTTACCTCTATATTCATATTCTTACTTCTGTGCTTGTGATTCAGTGTCACCGTGCTTCTGTCCTTGTCACTGCTGTTTGATGACAGCTATATTTATACTGGGTGAATGACAGAGATCCGCCCATTGAAAACAAGTCTGGCATTTGCAAACTGGCTACCACCCATAGGAGGTACTAGCCATCAGCGTCACTCTATGGACAAGTCTATGATGAAAAGAAATTGTTGGATATTAATAGGTAGTTAGATGTGTAGGGTGACCCAGAATGAAAGCCCTGTACTATAGAATATTATCAGCTTACAGAGAGCCCTGTAGTAAGATGTGTATTAAATATTTTTTTCCATGTTGAAAGAATCTATGTACACTGCAAGTTGGCTACACGTAGAGGGTTATTCGCCAAAGTGAAAATAGCCAAAATGGAAACATTCTCCCAGCCAGCTATGCTTTCAGTTTCGCTGCTTTGGCCTTAAAAGATCCCTTAAAGTAGGCTTACTGAAATTGCTCCATACATTAATATACACTAAATATCACAAAGATATAAGATGTATTCAGTGTAAATTATAGAGATTTACTCACTTTTCCTCAGTTTCAGTGCTGGTTAGTGAGTGTAACTCTTTGTGTAAAACCCACCTAGTGGCCATCATCCGCTCCACCTGCAATCTATTTTGATTTGCCCTGATTTGAAGCCCATGGAACAGCAAGCTAGGTGGAATGGGCCTTGACAGAGCTAGGAGGCAGGCCTATGGATGAGGTGTGGTTTGATTGGTAGAGGTCAGTTAGGGGAGTGGCCTAAGTTTCCCATATAAAAATAGGACATTTTAATTCAGGTTCCATTTTAATTTTAAATCCCTTACCTGCTGGTAGCTGTTGCTGTCTTCCTGGTGTTTTTTTTTCTTATTATTTCTTTCAGATGGATTCCTTGGCATGGCAGCGATCTTGGACGGTGTCAGGGCAGCGGTTCGTCAGCACGGAGTGGCATGGATGGAGCAGCGGCTGGGAGCAGCACTGAATATGGCGGGACCGTCTGTGGCGCCGGCGCGCAGGACATCCCGGCGGACTAGGCCGCCGCAACGTCTAAGCCCAGAGTCCGGTGCCGGCGTGGTGCGGGGTCGAAGCCTGTCAGCGGGCATGCCAGGGGCCAGCACGACGAGCGGTAGTGGCCGGGCTTGGACCCGAGGAGGTCGCGGCTCGGGGGCGGCCGCACACCATGGACGTCAGCCAGCCTGGGCAGTATGGCGCCGCCCGGCGGCCGGCAGGAGTTCCAGTTCACTGGCTGCAGTAGGCCCCTCAACTGCAGCGGGCGCTGCTGGGAGCAGGCATCAGCCATCTGGGCGGAGCACACCCGGTGAGTCACCCCCTGGGGCTGTTAAGGCAAAAAGGGGAAGAAAGCAGGGGTTGGTGAGTGTGGCGAAACCGACCTCGCCGCTGGGCATTGGAGAAGACTGATTGCCAGCCTCCTGCCATGTGACTATGGCCCCTGGGATGTATTGCCCTTTAAAGACATGATTTGGGCATAAAGGATTTGTGTTGTGCTGCTGCTGGCCCTTTAAGAACCATCTGGGGACATATTGTGGAGTTACTGGGTGGCCACCATTTCCTGTATCAGAGGCACATGGTGAGAACAATAGATGAAGCACATGGTGAGAACAATGGATGGCGGCCATTTTAACTCACAGACACTGTTTGGACTTTTCAACACGGTGCCATCTCGCCAGTATTTGGTGCACAGAGACATTGTGCAGTGGTTTTGGACTATACAGCAGGGGACACATTATACAGTGATTGTTTTTCATTTAGCCTGTATATGTTCTGCAGAATCTGCATTAAACTGTATCTTCCAAAGTACTGAACGGATCTGGGTGAATTTTGGATTTCTCTGACTGTGATAATTAGATTACCCATTGTGTAAGGGGAGGATTATATGTGGGAGTGTCTGAGTGTATTGTACGTGTTATTGGTTGTTCTGTAAAACCCTGTGGGCAGTACTAAGTTTGTGGATTGGGAATAAAAGAGGCTGTATGTGCCAGTCCAGTCAGTTCCTGCTTAACCCTCAAAGTGAAGTGTCGTCTCATTATTGGGGGAGGATTTATTGTATGCTGTTCCAGTTTGACTGCTAGGAGTGTAAACCTATTCGCATGGTTTTTCCTATTCAGCTGTATACAACATTCAATGCTGAGAGCATTCATATGCTCCTACGGTTCAGTGGTTTTGGTGTCTGCTGCAGTGCTTGGAGTCCTCAGGAAGTGGAGCATCCTTCAACGGAGGTACCCAGTCGGGGTGCCAGGTGATCCGTTACAATGAGCGAGGCCCCCTCGACCCAGTCAGGTTCCGCTGAGGATGGGGCAGCCAGTAAGGGCTTGGGCAACAGGGAAGTCATAGCACCTGCAAGTGATTCCAGGGTAGGTGGTGAGGCGTCCTGAGCAGTCAGCAAGGTACGGCATGGGCGGGCTAGGCCGCAGGCATCCCCTTCCAAAGCGCAGCAGCCACAGATGACAGGCCAGAGTGAGGTGCACAGGGCGCTGGTGACAGGTGGCGGTGTCACAACAGGGAGCAGCATGGCCCCTTCCCGGATTGGCACGGGTACTGGGCGCTGTAGGCCAACAGACCAGCGGGTGGGCAGGGACAGCCGCACTCAGGATAGGGATGCCAGGCCCCCAAGGCGGCGTAGGGCCAACGGGGGGGACAGGAGGGCCTCTAGCCATTGCTCCAGGAGTAATCGGCGGACCAGGCAGCGCAGTAGCAGCGGGGAGTCTGTGGCTGGGCGCTGCTGTGACTCACCCATTAGGGGATCATCCTCACAGGGGAGTGCCTCCAGGTCAGTTAGCGGGGCTCCCCCGACAGGCGGTGCAGAAGATTTTCGGGTGATAGTTACGGCCACAAGGGTCAGGATGCCGGGAGTTGCAGGCCACATAGGGAATCACTGGGTGAGGTCAGGGGGGATCGGTGTTCTGATGACGGCCTCCCCAGGTTTGCTTCTTCTGTTCACAGGTCATTGGATGTCGGGTCAGCGGGCCGAAGGAGGCTTCAGGACGGCGGGGATTTCCAAACAGCTTCGCCAGGACCCTCGCACGGCGGAGTTCGGGTAGCAGCCCCAGGATCGGCGGCACCACAGGGTTTGGCTGGTGAGTCCCACAGTACACCACACATGGGAGACTTGTTAGAAGGCTTAAAATCGTTTCTTACATCGTGGAGTTCGGGTTCGGATAGAGGGGCGCCGGTCCCTCTTCCACCTCGTCGTCTGCTCAACGGAAGGGATTCTGCTGGCTCTTTAATGAAGGCCAATGTAAGTGGGGCTCCGCATGCCGTTTTAGGCATGAATGCTCCGAATGCGGTGGGGGGCATGGTTACA